GGGGGGGGGGACAGCCAGCCGAGGAGGTGCCACGTCCGTGAGCGCCGAGGGCTGCCGTGCCGAGTCCAGGCTGCTGCGAAGGCGGCTGTGCTCTCTCAGTGCCGTCTCGGGAGTGTGCTGGTCCTCTGTTTCCATTTGGTCTTGAGTGGTGCTGAGTGAGGTGACCTTTCGGGGCGCGCCCCGGGGCGCCAGGGCGGAGGGCAGCCTTTAGCACACCTCCTTGCCCGTGCTGGTGCCCGGCAGGATGTTGAGCTGCGTGAGCTGCGCGGCGTGCTCCTTGGCCTTGAGCCTCAGCGCGGCTATGCTCGAGGCGCGTCTGTCTGCAGCCGCGGTGGCCGGGTCGGCCAGCGCGCCCGACGCCACCGCGCCCTCCACGGCCGGCGTGGGCTGTCTCAGGAGCGCGGCCGCGGTCGACGCGCTGGTCAGGGGGGCCATGGTGGAAAAGAGCCTGCAGGGAGAGTAAACAGCGCGGTCACGGCCGGGAGCTGAGCGCGCCTCGGCAGCATTTCTGCCGCCTCTCACCAGGGCCGCGGAGGGCCACCAGGACTCCGAGGGCGCAGGCCTGGGGCTCGAGCCGCTGGCTGAGGTGTGGGGGGTGAGGCGGAAGGCTGGGGCGCTGGGGGGGGGGGGACTTGACTTGAGCTGGGACCCGACGGAGGAAAGAAAATAAAAGGCCAACAGGCCAGACTTTTCTGGGGCCTGAACTGGGGTCGCCCCGGTGGTCCAAAACCCCATGGCCCAATGGCGCGGATTTAGTGATTTCGCTTAAGGAGGAGGCGTCCCCCCAAACCAGGCGCTCCAATTGCCTGCATACTGTTTCCCAGGAGCGAAGAAGAAAGACAAAGAGAAAGAGGAGGCTAGAAGAGGAGCTAGAAGGAGGAAAACAGATGGGAGGGAGAAGGTGGGATCGAAACCGACCGAGCCCCACGCCGCTGATGGACCCTGCGCGCTCTGGGGCTCCGCGCGGGGATGGGGGGGGCTCCTTTGGCCTGGCAAGACGTCCGCGGGCCTTCCCGCAGCCAGCGCCGCCCTCCTGGGCCAGGCTGGGTTGGCGGTGCCCGGCCCGCGAACGCCTGTTGAATCCCGCTCGACCCGTGACCACCAACCAGTCAGCGGTCCCGCGCCCCGTGCAGCGACATCCTTTCCCTGACGCCTGCCCCGCGTCCCTGCAGCCTCTTGCCCCCGAAAACCCCCGAGCCCGCTACCCACGCTCGCGGCCCACAGCGACGCCCATTTCTGGGACTGTGAGCAGGCGCCACCGCCTCCCGGCCGCGCCGGGATTGCTTCGCGCGGAGCCTGCGCGTCCTTCGCCCCGCACCGCGGACCTACAGCTGAAGCCCCCGCGCCTCCGGCTCCCGGCCGCCGCCACTCCTTCCCCTGCTGCTACCAAGTGCCCGCCGGCTTTTCCGCCACTTCCCCGAGGGCTATGACTTCGGCCTCCGTGAGGCCAATTCGGGGTTTCCGCGCTTGCAAAAGAGCCCAGTAGGGCTCGTGGAGGCCTCCTGCTTTGCTCCCAAGCCCACCAGCCTCCACCCCCGCCCCGCCGCACCCCTCTTCCAGCTTCTCTGAATCTCACAGCCAGGTGCTCCAGCCGCCGTTTGCAGGCTTTTACAAGCCCCTCGTCAGGAGGAGGGGGGTGGCGAAAGAGGCACACAGGACTTCAAGTTTTGTTTTGTTTTCCCAGAAAGAAATAATAAAGTGTGACCTGGAGGGGGTGCGAAGTGGCCTGGTTCCCCTAGGTAAACTGAGTCACTACACCTCCATGCACACGTTGTTGGTTGGTTTGTTCCAAGAAACTAATTTTACTTGGCGTCTTTTTTGAACAATTTCCCTAAGATGAGTTTTGTTAAGTGGCTGCGCAGTTGGAGGAATCTATTATCTCTTTGTTCTCCCAAAGAGAGATCATTGAAGCTGCGTTCAGTTTTATTTTCACTGCACTTTCTAACTTAATACATCCCTCTTTTGTTTCTTTGTCTGTGTGATTATACAGACTTTTTATTTCATCATTCGATGTTCGTTTAGAGAAAGGGAGTTATAATATACGATGAACTGTTTCTTTTATTTCGTTGTCTTGTGCCACTGTGGGGGTCGGAGGTTGCGCATATGGGGGTTTGGTTGGCAGCGGGTCACTTGAGTGACAAAGAAGAGAGAGTCTGGGGGAGAATCATGAATGATTTGCACCCAGAAGCCCCTTGTGTCCAGGGCTCCTGTGGAGAACAGGCCTGTGTTCCTCTGGCTGCTAGACTTGGGCCATGAGGAAGGGTTTTTGCAAAACTTGTCATCCTGGCTCTGTAGCTGGTTCGCGTTGACACAATGCCACCTATGGCCCAGGCTGTTGTTGCCTTCCAATGGTACTGTTACAGCTTTCATTGAACACTGACAACTGTCACGGTTGTTACTGCCACCGCCTTCCCCTTTGCCACTCAGTTCCAAGTCATTCTCTTCAAGATCCACACGTTTTGAGGCAACATTAGTGAGTATTTTCTTTGGCTAAGTCGCTGAGGTTAGGCCAAGGAGAAAAGATACGTGTGGCTCCTGCCTGCCTCCCACCTCCTCCCTGCCCCGGGCCTCCTAAGTGTGCACGAGAGAGACGCAGACAGACTCCCGCGGCCGCGCTTTACCTGCCGAACGCAGGGCTGATGAAGGCCGGGTGCCGGAACACGGCGGCTCCCAGGAAAGTGCTCAGCCCCAGCGGCGCCCCGCTGGGCGGCAGGCTGGCCGAGCCGGGAGGCGGAGGTAGGCTCGGGAACGCGGCGGCGGCGGCGGCGGCGGCGGCCGTCCAGGCCGAGTCGAGCGCGGGGTGGTGCGGAGGGAAAGGGCTGGCGTCCAGGTAGGGGCTGAGCGGGTGGGTGGCCGAGAGCGGCCCCGGAAAGGGCAGCCCGGGGGGATGGGTCTGAGCGCCCGCCTTCTCCCGCTTGCGCCACTTCGCCCGACGGTTCTGGAACCAGACCTGCGAGGCGGAGAGAGCCCTGGGTCTGCGAGGCTCCTGGCCTCCAGGGCGCTGTGGGCACGCCCTTGCCCCTCCCAGCCCTGCGCTGGGCACAGTGGGGGGGGGGGGCCCTTCCTCCCCAGTGGGACCCACACCTCTCCTGGCCTTAGAGGGCTCAAGGACGTGTCTGGGACCCTTGGGGCTGCGCAAAGGAACCCAAACTTAAAGCCGGCAGGAAACTGGGCAAGCAAATCCTTCCCAGTGGGCTTGAGGTTAACCGAGCTCCTTTCCAAGTTAAAGGGAAAGTGGGTCTGAGCTTTTAGAGATGGGAAGCCGAGGCCTGCACAGCCTTGCCCTTGCTGTGTCTTTAGGCAGGTCACTTAAACCTCTCTCAACCTCAGTTTTCTGATCTGTAAAATGGGGATAATAAAATTTTACTCACTTGCCTGTTAGAAGGAATGAAGAAAATAAGGCAAATGCAAGCTGGCATCTGGAGTCACCCTCCAAAAGAGAGGCCCCAAGACAGGAGTGCATGTCAGCTAGTTTTGCCTGTTTCAGGGCAAAATCCTGCTCTCGACCAAAAAAGAAGTCAGGGAGGCGTTCTCTTATTCTTGGCAGAAATATTTATTGAACACCTCCCAGCACCTGGCTGGGTTCTGAGATTTGGGGAGAGCTGGGAGGGAGGGAGGGAGGGAAGGCATTGTCGGGGGCAGTTAGCAAAGACGCTTTCAGTTGGCCCTCTGTTCTCCATGAACTGAAATATGAGTATGGGATACACAGTCTGCTATTTGCAGGGGCTTTCTGTAGGGCGGAAGCCACCCAGGAAACAGCAATACCTGGGCACATAGGAATCAGAGTCCTGGAGACCTGTAGGCTTTTCACAGCTTCTGCTTTAACAGGTCCTTCCTTTCTTAGGGGATGTGGTTAAACAGGTTATTTAAATAAGATAGTTTTAGGCTTGGGGGAGGTTTTCAGCACTAGGTATCTTCCTAATTGTTAATAGAAAGCAGTTTTAGTAGAGACCTTTACCTGAAATGTGGCAGCTACCATAGTCTAAAAATAACACTCAGAAGCATGGAATTATTTTTATGTGACCTGCTCATCACACCCACAGCTAAGAAGATAGGCTCCTTCTCCCCTGAAGGTATTAATATTTTTAGGGCTGGGTTTATGCCTGCACACAAGTCTCAAAATTAAGAATGAACTTCAGGGCTATACAGAGTTATATTAAAATATAATGTAAATGATCCCCGAGGAAGATGTTTAAAAATTTTTAAGACATCCATGTCTTTCAAATATACACACTGGGGGCTGTCGTTACTAGCACTAGTAGCTAAGCTTGGTTTGACTTCTAGACAGTCACCCGGGGCAAGCAACATCGACATTTCAAGCTGGTTGATTACTTAAAAATTCTTCGGAAAAGGGGCCCATCCAGAACATTCCACAGCCCTCAAACGATCTATTTGTGACTTGCAGAAATATGCCAGTGTGGAAATTTAGAGGCTTGAAAAAGTAAGATGGGGCCAGGCTGGGTGGGCAGCTTTTGTGTGGACCCAAATCTGTCTAGACGAGAATCTCCGCCACTCCTCGGTGCGGGGAAGGGAGCAGGGTGGGCAGACTGCCCCAAGAGAACTGGAAACCTTTCCCAGGCGAGATAGGCTCCCTGCTCAACTGCAATTATCAAGATGTCCCCCTGCAATTCCTCATTATTGAATTAATACCTCTGAGGCCCCCCAAAGGTAAACGAAAGGACTCTAATAATTCATATTCACTTAATTACATCTTCTCCAGTGAATAGGGGGAGAGGCGAAGGGGAGGGGCACTCTCTTTCTTTTAAAAAAGTTATTTAACTTTCCCACGACTCATTCCCCTGAGCTGAAAATACGGAGTTGCTGTCACATCTCTGTTTGACAATGGAGAAATGTGTCAACAGAAAGGAGGGGCCAGGCCTCATCATTAGCCCTCTAATGCAAGAAGCTGTTGTGTATTAAATGAGCCATATGGAATTTATTGTGCTTTATCAGCGCTTGATTTTGACTGTAAAGTGATTCACTCAGCTCCTAACCCAGGGACATCTGTTTTCTGTTGGCCATCGGGGCTGCCCAGTGTTGATCGTCTCTTTGGTTATGAGGCCTGGGTTCGGAAATGCACTCTGGTATGGAGCTGCAAACACCTTTAATAGCATTGCACTCACTCCCTATTAGATCAATGTGGGCTCATTGCTATAAAAAATGGGAAATCAAATAGCATTAGCCAGCTCCTTGTGCGGGCGGAGGGGAAATCAAACAGCATTTTGCCTTCAAATGGCCCTGTTTGTTCTAGCACTAAGTGGGCTTTTATGAAGCCCGATTGGAGACTTAATCGCAGCCAAATACCTGCTTGGAGCTGAGCGGATTTGTCTAACAACCAAATCCATGCTCCATCCCATTATTTCAATCAGGAGAAGTCAGTCTGCAGATTGTTTCCTACCGGGGCTGTGGAACCAAAGGTGGGGGCTGGGGGGGGGGCTCCTGAACTGTAGTCTCAGGGACCCTAACTCCCCCCTCTGATTCTGATCTCCATTCTCAAGACTCCCAAATCCAGAAACTATCCCCTCCAATCTCAAGATGTTCATATTTTAATATGTGTGTGTTTGTGTGCTGTGTGTGTGTATTTTTCTGCTTCTATTTCTCCATTTTATGAAGGGGGTGTCTCAGTCTCCCCCATCCATCAACCCTCAACCATTTCTCCCTCTCCCATTCACCCCAAAACTCTCTCCCTCCCTTTCTGTGGTAAAGCTCACCTGGACTCGGGCCTCAGTCAAGTCCAGCCTCATGGCAAGTTCCTCCCTATAAGAAAGCAACACAGAGACAGGAGGTCACTGCAGGTCCCAGGAACCCCCTCTCAGGCACCCTTCCCTCACTAGCAGGCCTCTTCTTTTGGGGTCTCCCCTGGCAGTCTGTCTTCACCCCCAGACATGTGAGCATCACCTTTCCTTAGCCACTGGAGTGCCTACTATTGATTAGAAACAGAAACACACACAATGCATTGCCAGATATAGGATATTTGTACAGTGTGGGATATTAGATTGAGTAACAGAGGTGGCTTTCTGAATCTATAGTTGTGCAAAATTGGGCACACAGACTCTCTCTCACTCGATTAAGCCAGAGCTAGTCAAGAAAGAGTCACATATATAACATTCTTATGAAGAAACACACAGTTTCCTAATATTAAATAGGAGAAAAAATCAAAATTAATTTTTGGTCACCCTCTTAGTTTCTTTCTGCTTCCTTGAAAAAATGTCCTCTCCTCCTTTTTCTGACTCTCCACCCAGTTCTCTTTCCCTCCATCTTCCTCTTCCCCTGTCTCTCCTTCTCCCTCTCACTCCCTCAGGTCATCCTCCCCATTACCCTCTAGAGATATGTTAAGCTTGTTAAGAGTTCAGTGGGGTAATTTTTCGATTACACAAAATTCTGTGCACCTCCTCTCTCCAGTGCCCACTACAAACCCTGCCCATCTCAGGGGAAGTCAATTTAACTGAAACACTACCCCGTCATTGCAGTTATTACTGCGACAATTAAGGCAAATAGGAAACCATTAAGATGCTGTAAAATGGCTTACGACCTGTTTACCGAAAATATGAGCGCGCTGAGAATAATTGGCTCTCTGATCGCTAATTTGAAAGAGCTAGGGCTGCCTCAGCCTGAAACCCCGGTTTGCACTGCTGTCCACACCTGGAACTCGGAAACCGGGAGAAAAGGGGTCCACTGTGCACTTCCGGTAGTCCCCCGCTACAGTGAACACCAGTACCTTTAAAACCACACTGGGAGGGGGGGGGGACTCCTGGAGGGAGCCTAAGGCTGTGGCCCTGGGGCAGCTAAAGGAAGATGCCCTGTTCACATAGTTTGGTTTCTCCCTGGAAAAAAAGCTTAAAAAAAAGGGGGGGGGGCAGGCCTGATGCCAACTGACATTATTTTCTTTTTGAAATTCATAGTGTGATCAACTCAAAAGGTTGGTGGGCCAGTTGGCTATTGGTTAGCACAGCTTGATTTCTAAATTTACTTTCTTTTTTAAAGATAAGAAAGGGACAGGGTGAAGGACCAAGTTTAGCCTAGGGGATGATCAAGTTTAGCCTTCTCTCTGCGTCAACTCCACTCTTTTCTGCTGCTGGTTAGGAGAGAGTTTGCCAATTAACTGACAGACCAACTACACTTGAGAGTTGGCTCGGGCATCCTGGGCCCTAAACAGCAATTTCTTCTCCAGTTCAAAGGAACTGGCGGCTTTCCGTTTTAAAAAGGCACATTGAAAAGCTGCACACGTCTGGTGCGAAGGACCTGCGGAACTTGACAAGCCCCGCGCCAGGCAGACACCATCCTTTCCTCCCTCCCCACTGGGGGAAGTTTGCTGGGGTTCTTGTGCCTGCGGGAGACCTAAGACCTCGGTGTTCCTGGGAAAGGAGGGCCCCCCGCCGGGCTAGCGCCCCTGGTCCGCAGAATGAGCTCGGGCCCAGGGCCCCAGTGGCCTCACTGGCACACCTGCGCTACAAAAACTCCAGCGAGGGCTAGTGGAGAGTGACCAGGTGGGACAGCGGGGTGGACACTTGTCTACAGAGGAAAAATCCGCCAGCTCTTTCCTCTCTTCCTGCCCTTCCAGCCGTGCTGTAAACCCGTGTGCATTAAACGAGGGTGGGCTTAATATGTGTGTTGGGGGAAAGAGAGGACAAGAACGAGGACAGGAATGAGAGGGTAAGATTCTGCCCCGTGCCCCACCCAGCGCGGGTGCACCGGTAGCAAACTGCCCAGTCTCGATTGCTTGGGTCATCTCAGGAGCTTTCAAAGGAGTGAACTTGAATTTTGTCAAAGGCCTCCTCCGCAGGCACCGGCTCCAGCTTTGTGACAAACAGCGTAACTGATACCCACCAGACTCCTGGGGCATGTGGGGTGGGGGTGGCAGCACACCACACAGCGGCCAAAAATAACCTAAGGCTTGCTTTGGCCCGGAGGGCCTGCAGCTCTGCGGAGCCTCACCCCTCACCGGCCAGGCCGGAGCTCCTGGGGTGCGTCTCCAAGGCCGAGTGTCCCGCGCCCTTTGGAGACATGGCTTCTTTCTCCCTCAAACTTCTAACTGGGAAAAATGAAACTGGACAGGCCTTGGGGAGGAAAGAAGTCAACCTGGCCTAACCTTAAAGCCGGCGGAGGGGGGCAGAGTGGGCAGGTTTTGGTGAGCAGGGGTGGGTACCTTGTGGGGGGCGACCTGGGCAGAGTCCAGACGTGAAGCCCCTTCCCGAGCTCGGGCCGGGCCCGCCGCATCCGTCCGGGCGACCACCGCGCCTACCTGGTGAAGACGTCGGGGTAGTGCGTCTTCTGGAAGGCCCGCTCCAGCTCCTCCAGCTGGTAGCTGGTGAACGTGGTGCGGTAGCGCCGCTGCTTGCGCTTCAGCAGCCCCTCTTCCGAGTCGCTGCCCGCAGACAGGCACACGCTGTCCTCGCCGTCCTTGCCCTCGGCGTCCTCGGGGTGCAGCAGCAGCTCCTCCTTGGGCGACAGCTCCCCGCCCTCGGTGGCCACCGCGGCGGCAGCGG